AGAGGGAAAAAACTGTGTCGTTACAGAACTTCTAGATGGTAGGGAAGTCAAGACAACTACAAGATAGAACAGACCGTTCTAAACTTGGGAAGAAAACTATAAATCACAGAGTAACCTCAAAGAAAAATGATAAACCTTCACGTCAAAATAAAAAAGAAGACCAGCACAAATATTTAGCAAATACTAAAACAACAGCAACAAAGGAAGTGATAACACGATTAATAAACAAAACAAGCTTAGCACAGAAAATTATATGGAACAAAGAAATCAACACCACGAAAAAGCACATAACAAAAATGACAGCAACAAATTCATATTTGTTGATAATTACATATCTGTTAAGGGACTTATCTCTAAGATTTATAGAAAACTCCAACACCTCAACAGCAAAGGGATTAACAATTCAATTGAAAAATGAGCAGAAGACATGAATAGACACTTCACCAAGGATATTCAGGTGGCCAGAAAATATATGAAGAGATGCTCACGATCATTGGCCATCAGAGAGATGCAAATCAAAACAACAGTGACATACCGTCTTACCCCTGCACTGATGGCAAGGTTCAACAAGATAGAAAATAACAAATACTGGCGAGGATGTGGAGAGTTTGGGACTCTCATATGCTGCTGGTGGGATTGTGAAGTGATAAAATCACTGTGGAAAGCATTATGGTGATTCCTTAGAAAGCTGGAATTGCAAATACCATTTGACCCAGCAATCCCATTACTAGGTATATATCCTAGAGAGGTGAGAGCCAGAACAAGAATAGATATATGCACACCCATGATCATCGCAGCCCTATTTACAATAGCAAAAAGATGGAAACAATCTCTGTGCCCATCAGTGGAAGAGTGGATGACCAAACTATGGTATATACACACAATGGAATGCTTTGCAGCACTAAAGAATAATGTAGAGTCTGTAAAACACCGCATAATATGGATGAACTTGGAGGACATTATGCTGAGTGAAATGTCAATCACAGGAGGACAAATATAGTATTAGTTTGTTGCTGTGGAGGGTCAAGGAAAGGTTTATATATGGAGGAAAACTTTCTTTTTTGGTTGCCAGGGGTGGGAGGGGAGAGTAGAGAACACTACAAAAAGAAAAAAAAAAGCATGGATCCATGTCACTTTGTTGTTGTTGTGTTGTTATGTGCCGTCAAGTCAAATCTGATTCACAGCTACCCCTTCTTGGGTTTCTGAGGCAGTTATCACTACGGAAGTAGGATTGTCCAACCTTCCTCCCGAGGAGTGGCTGGTGGGTTTGAACCACCAGCCGTCTGGTTAGCAGGCAAGTGTCTTAGCCACTATGCTACCAGAGTTCTGTGTATTTCACTGTACATAAATTATATTTCAATAAAATGCATTAAAAAAGGTCAACCAATTATAACATGTGAAACTTACTTGGATCCTGATCTTAAACAAATTGCAAACAAATATTTATAACCTAAGTCAACAGGAAATTTGAACATCAATGGAATATTTGATGACATTAAGGAAATCTTGTTATCTTTTTTTAGCTTGATCATAGTATTCTGGTTACATTTAAAAAGGAGAGTCCTTATCGTTTAGAGACACATACTGAAATATTTGCAAATAAAATAATATGATCTGGAATCTACATCATAATAATACAGTGAGAAAACTGGGTGTGTGAATAGATGAAACAAGATGGGCCATAAACTGATAGCTGTTGATCAAGGGGGATGGGTAGGTGGAGGCTCATTATAGTACTTTCTCCACTTAATTTTTACTTTTGGAAAAAAAAAAAAACCAACAGCGTTCTTGAGATATAATTTACAAGCCAGTAAAATTTCTCAATTGTTAAGTGCAGAATTTAATAATTTTTGGTAAATGTATAGAATCGTCCAACTAGCAACATAGTCTTGTTTTAGAACATTTCCATCCCCCCACCAAAGTTCACTTGTGCTCTCTGCAATTTCTGCTCCTACACCTAGCCCCAGTCCTAGGCAACCACTAATCTGCTTTCTTTCTCTGTAAATATGTTTTTTTCTGGACATTTCATTTAAATGGCATCATATAATATGTGGTCAATTGCTATTCTCTCTCAAAAAAATAAAAAAACAAATCCATTGTCATCGAGTCGATTCCAACTCCCGCTGGGTTTTCAAGGTGGTAAATCTTTACTGGAGCAGATTGCCCCATCTTCCTTCTGAGGAGTGGCTGATGGGTTTGAACCTCCAACCTTCTAGTTAGCAGTCAAATGTCTTAGGCACCAGGCCACCAGAGCTCCTTGCTAGTCTCTCTACTGGTGTGTAAATTTGACATTTTCCATAATAAAAAGAAAAACAACTTTTGTTGAACTGAACAATGACTTACGTTTCTTGTGCTTTGCAATGGGCTTTCACATACCTGGTGTCCCTGGGTGGTGCAATTGGTTAAGTACAGACTACTTACCTACCCCAGGACCTCTGGTAGTATAGTGCCTAAGGCATTGGACTGCTAACCAGAAGGTGGCAGTTCATGCCCCCCAGCCACTGCTTGGAAGGAAGGTTGGGCAATCTGACTCCATGGCAGTGAGTTTGGTTTTCCTTGGTTTATGTGCTGCCAAGCTGATTCTGACTCATGTTGTTGTTAGGTGCCGTCAAGTGGGCCCCAACTCATAGCAATCACGCCTTGAGTTTCTGAGGCAGTATCACTACAGAAGTAGATTGCCATTTAATACTATCAAATAAATTGCAATTTAATATTATAGCCTCCCACCCTCCGGGACTCTCTATCACCCATCTCTGCCTCCCCCCCCTTCTCATATGCCTTATAATTGATTTTGTTGTGTGTCTTTCTACTGCCACTGGAATGTAAGTTCTCAAGAGGTCAGGGATTTTTGTCTCTTTCATTCACTGCTATATTCCCCGGCTTCTAGAACTGAGCCTGGCACACAGGAAGCATCGATCAAATATTTGTTGAATGAATGAGCAGATTAAATAGGAAGGCCACATGTAAACCAAAACTTGAAGGAGGTGAAGTGGTGAGCCATGAAGCCATCTGGAAGAAAAGAGTTCCAGACAGAGGAAACAGCAGCTGCCAAGGGACCAAGGCAAGAAAGTGGTTGGCATGTTTGAGGAAGAGCCGGAAGCTGGTGTGGCTGGAGAAGAGTGAGCGAGAATAATAGGAGCTGGGATTGAAGAGGTATATGGGATATAAAACCTTGTGGGATTTAGGATTATTATCCTAAGTGGGGTGGGAGCCACTAAAGGATTCTAAACAGAAGAGGGTCATGATCTAAGTTAAGTACTCATAGGGTCACTCTGGCTGCTGAGCTGAGAATGAACTGTAGTAGAGAAATGGGGAGGGAGCTCTGGTGGCGTAGTGCCTAAGGCATTTGGCTGCTAACCAGAAGGCACGCGGTTCAAACCCACTAGCCACTCTTTGGAATGAAGATGGGGCAATCTACTTCCGTAGTGATACTGCCTCAGAAACCCAAGGAGGGGTCACTAGGAGTCGGGTCCGACTCAACAGCACATAACAACAACAATAACAACAGAGAAATGGGGAAGGAGCCCTGGTGGCGCAGTGGTTAAATGTTAGGCTGGGAAGTGAAAGTTCTGTGATTGGAACCCAACAGCCTCTCTGTGGGAGAAAGATTACAGCCTTGGAAAACCTATGAGGCAGTCCTACTCTGTCCAACAGGGTCACTATGAGTCAGAATTGACTCAAATGCAACAGGTTTTTGGGGAGAGGAGTGTACGTGCCTGGGGATAGGCACGTACGTGTTGTCAGCGTCTGCACAATAATACGTTATTTCCATTTCAACAGATGTGAACACCCCGCAGCTGCGCAGGCAGCCCAGGGTCTGGGCGGGGCGGCGGGTCACGTGACAGCCGGGTGGCGCCTCCTGGCGGTACCTGGCGAACTGTGGCGGTGGGGATGGCGGAGACCGTGGCTGGAGCGCGGGAGCGCGGAGAGTCTGGGGAGGCGGGACAGGCGGGCCGCAGAGCCCTGTACTTCTGCGGGAGCATCCGCGGCGGAAGGGAGGATCGAGCGCTGTACGGACGGATCGTGTCCCGGCTGCGACGCTACGGGGCGGTGCTCACTGAACACGTGGCTGCGGCCGAGCTGGGCACGCGCGGTGAGGCGGTCAGGACGGTAGTGGGACAGTCGGTCGGGGGCCGGAGGGGTCTGGGTCTGGGTACCCCTCTACCGAAACTGCACTGCAGGCATTGCCCGCCCGTGACTCCGCGGCGTGTCCCCACGGCCCGGATCCCGCCCTCTTGCCGTGGATGCTCCACCTACAGTCATTGCCCTGGAAGGAGACCAAGCCAAGGCTCAGGACCGCATATATCTCAGTATCCTTGAGGTGTGAGCTGCATCTCATCGTTTCAGATATTATCTTGACTTTTAGTTCGTTTTTGGAAAACTTTATTCTGTTTCCTCTAGGGGCGTCTATAGTGAGGAGCAGAATAGGGTGGGAGTGCAGTTTGCGCAGTATCCACCTCATCGGCTGGCCTCCTCGCTGTAGTTTTTCCTCCTTTGAGCATAGCTTAAGCAGCTCTGGGCTCTGGTGGCATGATGCCTAAGGCATCTGACTGCGAAGCAGAAGGTTGGCGGTTCAAACTCACCAGACACTCCGCGGAAAGAAGACTGGGCAATCTACTTCTTTAAAGATTTACCACCTGGAAAACCCAAAGAGACTCACTATGAGTGAATTGATTTGATAGCAGTGAGTTTGATTTGCTTTTTGAGCATAGCTTAGGCCTCACTTTGGTATTTTTCGGCATTGTCTGGGCCTTCACCTCCCTGACTCTGTGCAGGCTGAGGTCATATCTTTGTTTTTATCCTTGCTTATGTGGTCTTTTAAATATATATATATAATAAATATATAAAATTTAATATTTGTTGAGACTATAGACAGCAGAATATACAGATTCAAGTTATACATGTACAATTCAGTGATACTGATTACATTTTTCACATGGTACAAACATTCTAACCTTCCTTTACCAAATTTCCCCTCTTCCATTAATATTAACGGGAGCTCTGGTAGCATAGTGCCTAAAGCACTTGACTGCTAACCAGAAGGCTGGCGGTTCAAACCCACCAGCCACTCCTCGGAAGGAAGATGGGGTAATCTACTCCTGTAGTGATACTGCCTCAGAAACCCAAGGAGGGGTCGCTGAGTCGGGTCCAACTCGACAGCACATAACAATAATTAACTCTCAGCCCCTAAATTCCTATCTACTGTTTTGAGTTGATCTTGTCAGTTTGATCTCATATAACCAAACTCCAAACTCACTGCTGTCGAGTCAGATCTGACTCATAGCGACCCCTCCTTGGGTTTCCTAAGCAGGAGTAGATTGCCCAGCCTTCTGGTTAGCAGTCAAATGCCTTAGGCGCTACACCACCAGAGCTCCCTTGATCCCATATAGATAGTTCTTAAAAGAGTGTAATACTCAAGGCAGACCTGAGGTCTTTACATAAGTGGTTTCCAAAGAACCAAACCCACTTTCATGGGATTGATTCCAACTCATAGCAACCCTGTAGGACAGAGTAGAGCCGCTCCCAAAGGGTTTCCAAGGCTGTAAATCCTTGTAGAGGTAGACTGCCTCATCTTTCTCCAAGTGGCTCATGGGTTCAACCACCTTCTTCTAGTTAGCAGCCAAATGCTTTAACTAGTGTGCTAGCAAAGCTTCTTTAGGAACTTTGAAAATCTGAGTTCCCTCTGGTGGGAGGTATTGAATGGGGTGTAAGCTCACTGCCTCTTGGTGGCTGTGCCTCCGAGCCTCACTACTCAGTTGGCTCCCGTCATGTCTCCTTCCTTGCCTTTGGTGACATAACAGAATCCCTGTTTCTAACCACTAACCTTTTCTCCTTTGTAGACTCTCCACTGAGCATGTGGCAGGAGACACAACTTCCCCCATGTTCTTGCTAGAATTCTCACCTTTTTCACCAGCTTTCAGCTATTTTCACCTAGTATCGGGTGGGAGACCTGCCATTGTTTTAAAACTGCAAAATGTGCTTCAGCATCTGTTCCTCCACTTGAAATGAAGTTAATCCTCCTGCTTTCTCTCCCCTTTTCTGTCAAAGCCATCTTAACTCTGACAGACCTCGTCCTTTTTATTTTTATTTTTTTTGGTTTTAAAATGTTATTTGCATATTTTAAAAATTGTGCATTCCAGTCACTAAAATAATTTGAACAACAACAAAAAAAATTACACTCTGATTACACTGCATTTTACACCTGCAGGACTCCTTGGACCAGCTTTGCTTTTACTTTATATTTTCATTCACTGTCATTCCACTCAGCTCCTTCCTTCATCAACATGCAAGTTCTTTTCCTTCCCTACCCGTCTGATAGGCTGATAGGAGCTGCAGGCGCCACCTTTGCTGTCAGTAGTTATCGATTGTTTGATGTGAAAAGGGGCAGCACGATCATTTAAACTTGATTCAACCTCTTTGCAGCAGAAAGAAGGAGAATAAGGCAATGCTGGTGAAATGTGCAGTGCATATTGGCTGTGTTGCCTCATTACAATTCGCCCGGTTTCTTTTGAAGGCAGTGAATCTTTGTCTTGCGTTTGCTTTCTTCAATTTTAACTTACTGAATTTCTCCATTCAGCCATATTGGGTGTGTCAGGCATGGTTGCAGAGGAAGCAAGAGAGGGACGAGTGAGCGGAGTCTGTGCCCAGTGGCTGCCGCCAAGTCCATACCCCGTTTGAGGTCACCCTCTGCCTCTCTCTAAATCCTCTGTTCAGGCTGCTGGTAATGTGCTTTGCTCTTGGCTGCTGGGTTTTTCTAAAACACAGACTTGATCCATTGGTCTGAGATCTCTCTAAACCTTTCCATTTGAAAAGTGTGCCTACTGCTCTTGTACGTCTCAGAAAACCTTAAATGGTTCTCCATTGCTCTAATTAGGCAGATTGAGGTTTTGTGGGGCCTAAAGCAATTTTGAGGAGGAGCTCTAGTAGCCTAAGGCACTTGACAGCTAACCAGAAGGCTGGTGGTTCAAACCCACCAGCCAGTCCTGGGAAGGAAGGTTGGGCAATCTACTTCCTCCGTAGTGATACTGCCTCGGAAACCCAAGGAGGGGTCGATATGAGTCGGGGCCGACTCGACGGTGCATAACAACAACAACAAAGCAATTTTGAAGGAGCTCTGGTGATGCAGTGGGTAAGGGATTTGACTGCTAACTGAAAGGTTGGTGGTTCAAACTCACCAGCTGCTCAGTGAAAGAAAGATGGGGCAGTCTGCTTCTGTAAAGATTTACAGCCTTGAAAACCCTGTGGGGGTTGCTATGAATCTCAGTCAAGTCAATGGCAGTGAATTTGGTTTGGTTTAAAGCATTTTGAGAGACCTCTTTAAGAAAACAGAATTATAGAATTGCTAGGGCCTTGGGAAGGGCCTGGGAAAGCAAGGACCCCTACAGCTTAAGCTTCACTCCTCTCCTGGTATATCCACCCCTACCTCGTGGTTCTGGAACTTTAGTGTGCCAAGTATCATCTGGGGGAGCTTGTTTAAAATGCCGATTTCCCAGCCCCCATAATCCTAATATCGAGCAGTCTAGGATCAAGCCTTGGAATCTGCATCTTTAGCAAGCTCTCCAGTGATTCTCTGACGCAGGTGGCTGTGGACCTCACCATCCCAGAGAATAATGTTTAACAAGCCAGGCATGAGATCCTCACTCTCTGGCCCCAGTTTGCCTCTCCCGCCTTTGTTCCACCACTTCCTTCACCTTAGGGCAGTGGTTCTCAAACCTCACTGTGGGTCAGAATTGCATGGAGACCTCATGATGGCACAGAGGCCCAGGCTACTTGGCACCTGGGTCTTTGCATTTTTACCAGGTTTTCCAGGTAATTCTTGTGCCACCAGAGCTTGAGAACCACTAAATTACTTGTTCTCCATCCTTTCCTTACACAGGCTGGTCTGTCTGCCTTTTGTCCCCGCTGGGATGCTCTTCCTACCCCTCTCCACCTAATCACTCAGACCCACTGTGGATTACTCCTTCCTTTAATCTCATCTGTTTGCCCATCTGGCCCTAATCACACATCCCATCTTGCACAGGATTGAATTTTTCTTGTGCACATTTCCTCACTCCTCTTCATGGAATCTTTGTGTTGGGAGGGCCCTTGAAGGTCATCTCATACCTCTCTGAGGCAGGTGGATATGCAGGGGTGCGGTGAAGACAGAGGAGTTACTGAGAGGGAAATCCTTGACCAGCGCTCCCTCCACCACAGGCGAGGAGGCTGCTGGGGGTGATAGGCTGATCCATGAGCGGGACCTGTCCTGGCTGCAGCAGGCAGATGGTGAGTGATTCTCCTCCTACACACACACCCCTCTGGGATGATGGGTTCCCTGGACATCCCTGGGCTCCACACACACAATGAACTCCCTAGAGCTCCATCATCACCACCACCAGACTGTCTGTCATCTCTTTCTTACAAGCCCCAAGTGCTACAGATGCGGAGCCTTTTACTCAGTGTCCTTTCTTCCCAGTGGTTGTGGCTGAAGTGACGCAGCCGTCCTTGGGTGTTGGCTATGAGCTGGGCCGGGCTGTGGCCCTCAACAAGCCAATCCTCTGCCTTTTCCGCCCACAGTCTGGGCGAGGTGAGCACTCCGAGCCCTAGATGGCCAGCCCCTCCCTCCCCAGCCTTCTGAGCACCCATCCCTCCTGTCCAGCCCTGGTGGGCTCTGAGTACAACCCCCAGCAACAGACGGGGGAGTGAGGTGGGAGAACAGGGCATGAGGTGCCACCACCTCCTCCGCCCTTCCCAGTGCTTTCAGCCATGATCCGGGGAGCAGCCAATGGCTTGCGGTTCCAGGTGTGGGACTACGAAGAGGCAGAGGTGGAGACCATGCTGGATCGCTACTTTGAGGCTGATCCTCCCCAGTGGGCAGCTGCCTCCCATGACCCAACTGCTTGACTGCACATTATTCAATCCTCTGGTCCCAGACACTGTTCTAATACCATTCCTGTTCTTAGCTTCAGTACAGATTAAAAGACATGTTTAAAATTCTGTGTGTCTGTATACGTTGTTGTTGTTATGTGCTGTTGAGTCGGCCCCGGCTCATAGCAACCCCTCCTTGGGTTTCTGAGGCAGTATCACTACGGAAGTAGATTGTCCCATCTTCCTTCCGAGGAGTGGCTGGTGGGTTTGAACCGCCAGCCTTCTGGCTAGCAGTCACATGCCTTAGGCACTAAGCTACCAGAGCTCCTTCTGTATATGCAGTTGGGAGGAATTAGGTCCTCAGTACTATCCTTCCCACCCTACTTCATTCTAAGCTGTAGAGACCTTTTAAAACTCAGTAGGCCCTCAAGAGGATACCTCCTAGTACCCTCAAGCCCCAGCAGGAACACTGTGAGTTATGGGGAAGGTGGGAGCAGGGATGGCGGTGCCTCACTCTGTCTTCTCTGAAGCTGGGCTGGGTTGGGACAGTGCCATCTGCACCTGGCCCTGTACCCTGTGGACCTTCATTCCCCTTTATCAGCTTTGGGCCCTTCTCTGAGGACAGAAAAGTCTAGAGGTCTACAGAAAAGAATGAGGAAGGCTGTTTTGGGGATGGTGACAGGGATTTGAACTTGGTCCATGGTGAAGCTGCCTAACCCACTGTGGTAGATAGTTTGTGTGTCCACTTGGCTGGGCCTGGTTGAGTGGCTGGGCAGCTGGTGGTAGTTATTCTCCATGAGGAGACTGGCAGTCAACTCCACGGTGGGATCCACCACAAGCAGCTGAGTAGCTGCCTTTGGGATGTGGTCTGCTTCCTGTATATAAGGAGAAGCCTTGGGAATTGTCTCTAGTTTATGGCACACTTGGAGCCTGCATGTAGCCATGTCTTTCTTGAGCAGCCTGCCATGCTCTGCCGACCTTGGGACTTAACAATGGACTTGAATTAATGGCCTGCCATGTGGTTTGGTAACATCAGGACTGTGCCTTTTTACTCGTCAACCTTGGGTTTTTCAGCCTCAGCAGCCAGCAGCCAGCAGCCAGCAGCTTTCTGAGTGAAGAAACGCCTCTAGCTCCAGTTGGCCAGGAGCAGGAGACAGAGCTGGACCCCAAGGTTGAGGGACTTTCACACAGCCCCTAGAGCCTGGCACTTGAACTTGGACTTAAAGCCTCCAAATTGTTTGTTAAGGCCATCCCATTTGTGGTATATTGTTGTCAGAGCAGTACTAACTAGGTAACCAGAACAACCACTTCCAGAGAAGTATGTGAAAAAAAGTTTATTCAGTAAACAGAAGGTGCTGTAGACACTAGGAGTCATGCTCCACTCAAGAACAGCAGCAGCCTGCCTCCCTGCCCGCAGCCCCATGGCTCGGGGCTCCCGGCGCTCCTTTGTCCAGCCCCTCAGTCTCAGTCATAGGCCTCATCATCATCTTCCTCATCACCAAAGAAGAAGGTCTCTCGGTCCAGGTTCTCAGATTCCTCGTCGTAGGAGAAGCTGTCGTTGTCCAGCTCCTCGTCAAACTCATCCTGCTGCCACTCGGGCACATCGTCCTCATCCTCGTCCTCATCCTCGTCCTCGTCCACCTCCAGCCCCGAGGAGCCCTGGGGTCTGGGGAGGGCCACCACACTCAGCTTGGAGGATGCCTGACGTCTCCCACTCCCCCTCCACTTGGACCACCCTACTCACTGACTGCCAGGCACGTTAGAGCCTTTCGCCTCCCTGGCTTCTGAACTTGATGGACTCTGGAGACCAACCCGGAAATCCTGACAAGAGATGGAGCAGGACAGTAGGCACTGGTCTTTATGCCTAGCTTTCCTTCAACCAGTGTTTCCGGAGGGCTGACTAGGTGCCAGGCCTCTGCCAGGAATGTGCTCACTTCTCCCTTCCCTCATCACAGCACTCACAGACCACTGCCTTTTGTGTGATTTAACTCAGAGACGTCTCTAGGGATATGCGGTGAGGACACTACCCCTGCACTTAAGGAACTCACAATGTGGCCACGTGTGGGATTGGCAGATGATGTTTCTACATGTGTATTTGTATGTGCTGTGAGAATGTCCAGGTGTATAGTAGAGCTGACAACGGGCAAGGTTGTGGTGACTTCTTGGCCACAGCCAGCTACCCAGAGGAACTGAGAAGTTGGAAATGTGGGCTTGGGACCATGGTCACAGGAGACATCAAGCTCAACTGGCATAACATACTACACAAAAACATTGTTCTACATCCTACTTTAGTGAGTAGCAACTGGGGTCTTAAAAATTTGCAAGTGGCCATCTAGATGCAACAATGGGTCTCTCTCCTCATCTAGAGTAAAGAAGAATGAAGAAAAGCAAAGATGCATGGAAACAATTACTCCAAGGGACTAGTAGACCATGCGATCCTCAGCCTATATGACCCTAAGAGCAGAAGAACTAGATGGTGTCTGGCTACCACTGTCAACCACTTCAGGGGGGACCAGTACAAGAGATCCTGGATAGAGTGGGAGAAAAAAAGTGGAACAGGGGGGACCAGTACAAGAGATCCTGGATAGAGTGGGAGAAAAAAAGTGGAACAAACCTCAAACTCATAAAGGAAAAAAAAAAAAAAAAAAAAAACGACTATGTTTGGTGGTGTGATAAAACCTGGTGAGTCCCCTAAGACTATGGCCCCTAGTTATCCTTCAGGTCTGAAACTGAACTTACTCCTGGGGCTTCCAGCCAAACAACAGACAGACATATGGGGTGAATATATGCATCAGGTAAATACACTCCTTAGAGCGATCAAGATCAATCATGGGAGAACAGTCTTTGCACAGGGAGACAGCTTGGGAGGCAGGAGTACATGGGAGAGAAGGACACAGGGAAGAGGTAACTACAGGGAGGAAGTGGAAAGAGCTGTTCCATTGTGGGGAATTGCAGTCAATGTCATGAAACAAAATGTGTATGAACTGCCTTATGGAAAATGGATTTGCTTTGTAAACTTTCACCCAAATTGCAATTAAAAAAAAAAAAGGAATTTATAATGTGTGTTTATGTCTTGTCTGCCCAACCAGTCAGTAAGCTCTCTGAGGGCAGGTTTCATAGTTTTACACTCAACATGAGTGCATTAAAACTGGAAAAATGCTCAGAGATCCCTTAGTCCAGGGGATCCCAATCCTAGCCCATACTCCTGGGATTTTGAATCCATACATCCGGAAGGTATAGTCTGAAAAAGTTCCCCAAATGATTCTGATGAGCACCTGGCCAAACACCCCTGATCTGGGATAATCAAGGCCAGCCGTCCCTTTATTTTGGGGCGATCTAGTAAGAATAAGTAACAGTGCAACATCATTCCACGAGCCAGCGAGGGGACCAGGACGTGTCCCCAGGCCTCCTAACATCCATTGACCCACAGTCTTTCCTTCTGGGTTCTCCGCAGTGCAGGGCTGTGCTGGAGGAGGACGAAGAACCTCCATGTGCAAGGGGAGGAGAGGCGTGGCGATGGGGTTACCTGGGTGGAATGCTGCAGGATGGCGAGCAGCCTCTCCTGGATGCGCCGCAGCAGCTCCATGCCTGTGTTGAGGCAGTCTGCCCGCAGCAGGCGCAGCGAGGACGCCAAGTCTCTGCTCCGCAGCAGGGTGTCCTCTGCAGGGAGGGGGCAAAGGTCATGGGGCTGTTGCCCCTTCTTTCCTTTTCATCCACTCTTTCCTTCAACAAACACCTAGTGAACAGCTACCAAGTACCCAGAGCTCTAGACCCTCCCTCATGGAGCCTCCATTCTAACAGGGGCAGAGAGACCACCATCAAATAAAATGTTAGGTATATCAGTTCTACCCAAAGCAATCTATACATTCAATGCAATCCCAATCCAGATCCCATCAACATTCTTTAGGGATATGGAAAAAATGATCACTAACTTTAT